AGAAGATGCATAATTAGGCCTGACAAAGAAAGGGATTGTTTAGAGGACAGAAGAGAAGTATTTGAAAGAAAAGGGTAAAGGTGACAAAAGTGAAATGTAAGTATGCAAACTAAGAACTAAGAGTGTAGAAGATTTGCAGTTAAGATGAGAAATTTGGAAGATCTGCAGGTGAGAAAAGAAATTTGGAAGGTAACCAGCAAAAAGACATGGCAAAAAGGAGGAGCTCTTTTAAGAAAAAGAATCTAAGCATGAATTTGTTTTGTTTTGGTCTAAAAACTGTCTAGTATTAAGTAGTCCAGAATAGAAATAAACAGATTGTTCTGTGCAGGTCCTTAGAGGCATAGGTAGGAGCATTGCATCAGGAAACTATCCACAATATGTGACAGTATGTGCAGATGGCAGTATGTTGCACAATACTACAAAGCAGATATTGAAATCTAACATGATGTCATGGTATGGTGATTATTTTTCTGCTGTCTGAAGCTGGGTTTAGTGATCTCTTTAACACTGAATTACACAGCAGTTAACAGTCAAAGGGATCTTTTATTTAATAGAAATATTAATTTATACTTCAAATTATGCACTCAAAGAGATGACGAGTGCCTCTAATAGTATGAAATGAAATTATATCTGGTTTGATATTTCCTGTAAAATCCAGTTTCAATATGAGTGTTCGCATTGAATATGTATCAAATCTTCATTAGTCAGTCAAGACAAAGCCACCAGATGTTTTCTTGAAGATTTTACCAATGGAAAGTATGGCTACATATGCAGGAAAAAATGTTCTGAGTGGATTTTCAGGCCATCAAGAATGGCAGCATTTTATATTAAATATTAACTACAATAACTATTAAGTATCAGTAGGCTCATACATCTAAAACTTGTCTCAGAATTGTTGTCAAGACAGCCACCATAAAGTCTTCATAAAGTCTACTTTATGAAATATACTTCACAGGGCCCCTAACACCATGAAATCACTTCACCCATCTTTCTGTATGCATATTCTGTATGGGTATTTCTGTATCCATCAATAAAATACTTTTGTTTTTTTTATGGCACTCCAAACTTGTAGGGTGAGGGGCCATTCAGTTCCTATTGTTAGCAGAAGGCAACAAAAATGCAATTTGACAGAGTGCAAATATTTTGTACAGGTCATGACTCTTTGGTTGCAATGCTCCAAACAGTTTCTAAATCTTACAATGATGGTCTGCATAATCAAAGCTGATTTACTGGCAACTGGCTATCAGACAAATAAGAATATTTGCAGCTTCTTGCCTTTTCTTTATTGACCATTTGTATTTCAGTCAGAGCTTTCTAGTGTTAGCAGAATTTTAAAGTCACTAAATTCCCCATTAAAAAAAATACCCTGGTGAAATATGATAGGTATTTTTTTTCTTTTAATAACTGGCATTATGCAAATATATCCACATACAGAAGACTTTTAGTCATTAATATCTCCTAAAAGAATCAGCAAGATATTTTAAAATGCAGAATGTTTATCCATTCCTTCCTCACACCCTGAATTTTTACTTTCTTCTTAGAGGTAGAAGATCACAGATGTAGCTGTTTTAACTCAATCTGTTTGTCTTTTAATCAGTAAATTCTCCCTTAAATCCATTTGGATGCAATAAACTTCACTACTTTCTAACTTTCTGTCATTATTCTTTAAAATTCCCAGTGTCCATCTCAGAAACAGCTGAGAACAGTTCAATATGAGATGATTTCAAGTCTTCAATCAGATTTCAAGAACATGGAAACAAAATTTTGCAAAGTAAAATTTTCTTTTCAGGTAGAAAATCAAATTACCACATCCAATCTGAGTTTTCTTTCCAAAGGGAAATTTTATGTAATAAAATTTAAACAGTGATAAGAAAAGTATTTCTGTGAAATGAGTAATTATGTTGTGGAACTCCATACTGTATGTAATTAGAGAGGTCAAGAATTTAGTGGGGATTCAAAACCAGGTTTGAACAGGAATTATGAAGAGTACCAACAGAAATACTTTGAAATTTTTAGTAAGCCTTGTGTTTCAGGGCTAATGCAATTTTTAACAATTTGATATTATCAATAGTTGGAAAGAAGTCATTTCAAATCTCTGCTAATTGCTTCTCAAGACTTTCTAGTAATCACTCCAAAGAGGCTACAGAGTTCTGTTACTGCACAAAACTGGCCTTGTGTCTCATTCTGAAGTACAAATTACAACATTCCATATTTTTGCAACACTGTTAGGAGGAAAAATGTTCATCAATGTAGGATTACAGTTTGGCAGATGCTTAGCCTTTCTTCATATATATTTTCTCTTAAACAGTAAGCAGCTGCCTGGGTGTAAAACGGAGCTCTCCTCATTAGAAAGGCACAGTTACTATTCAAACCTCACTAATAATATTAAGTTTCTTGTGGTCACCAAAGAAATGCAGATGAGGTCTATGTGTAGGCATGTACATGTGCATGTAGATACATATATATACCAAATATTCTCCAAACAGTTGTAACAAAATATAATGTAGTCCAAATTTAGGTCCTAATTAAGTTATATAGTAACATAGGTAAAGGAGAATATATTTTTAAGTAATATTCCAAATACTGATTTCCCTGGTGACATGAAAAGAAACAGCTATCAATTGAATGAAGTGCTGGCCAGACTGTGTATTTTTATATGTGAAATATCTACATAAAACCTGAAAGAGAAGTACTTTTTACTAAATGCTAAAACCAATGTATTAAACTTTTGAAGGTATGTTCACAAAATTTCATCTACTAATATAAAATCCCAGGAATAAAAATTTTTAAGGGGATAATTATATACTAAATTATTTCTTTTCAAGACTAAATATCATCTCATAAAAAGGCATTTAATGTTTGATTTATTCACCATATGTTTTTTCACCATAATCTAAAGACTTGGAAATATTTAAAATCATGCAAACCACCAAATGGGTGAATATTCTATTTGTATTTTCCCATCCAACAATAATATTACAAAAGGTTGTAATACTTTTCCCTGTGTAGAAATTTTAGCCTCATTGTTGTATTTCTTATTTTAAAAAGGAATCAAACATTACAGTTTAACTATATTTTGCCCCCGCTCCTTAAAATACTCAATACTTTCCAGCTACAATGTAAATTTTTTTCTGTATTTTTACTATCCCTTATGTAAAAACATAGTCCAATGTACTGTGTCATTTCATACTTTCAATTACTTTCACTAATATTTTCTGCTTTACCTCTTCAATATTCTCTGAATATGTTCATTTTTTTTTAAAGGTAACCAAATTTCAGGGGACATTTGCATACAGGGAAAAATGGCAGTACAGTTGTCTAATACATAAATTATCAAATAAATTTGTTTGAATTTAATTTTTTTTTTCTCCTCTCTCCTCCTTTAGAAAATTCTTTTTCCAAACAAAATCCCTAGGAAAACTTGAATCTTCTTTTTGCCAGTTAGACTTATCTTTGAGTTAAGCATTTTGTTCTGAAGAACTTAACATTCATGAACTCTGTCCAGTTATTGTTCCTGACCTATTCAGACCATGTATTTTGACCTCTTGTCTAGACCAGTGGGACAGATAAGGATATATTTATTGAGTTACATCACATATAGTGCTAATTAGCATACCCTCTCTTCAGTGTTGAGACAGGTAGTTCTACCATGTAGAGTCAGGTTTCTACACAGCCATGTTCTTTTACAAGGCAATGTGAAAAATTGTATGTTGCAAAAAATTCTTGTCAGAATTGCTATATGAACCTCAAATGTGGAACAAATATAAGCAGATTATCATATTCAAATTCTTCAAGGTAACAATTAATAATACATTTAATAATAATTAATACAATTATTAATAATAATTAATACAATTGAGAAGCTTTTATCTGTATTATCAAAGCCTATGGTATGCAGCTGCAATGAATGAGGAAAGATCTAAACTTCAGTCATTGGGACTGCCTTTTTCTTCACCAAGAAGCTAATAATAAAGTGGATTACACCAATAAATCTGGTGTCTTTAGGTCTGGAGTAGACAAAGATAAGCAGCTGTTTATAACCATAAATTAAACTAATTGCAGTTTAAGTTATACCATGTTATGACTTGAATACAGATCCCTCTATCTTATGTATTGTATGCAAGTCCTGTTGGAGCTAACTAAAGACAACTCTTATCTTCATTTAAATTGTGTCATTTAAATATATAATTTATTTGATTATAGCCATCATTAATACCTGACTGTTAACAAAATAGAATAAACTGAAACTCTGTCTTGAACCTAGGAAGCAGGTTAATAGTAAGGCAAAATTTGAAAAAAAAAGTCCTCTGAGTGCAAACCACTGTGTCCTGATGCTTGGTAAAACAGACACAACACCTAGGACTGACTACCTGTAACAGTTTGCTTCAGATAAAACTTTGAAGTGTTTATGATTTTGGAAAGCTTTTTAACAAAGCAAGATATAATGAAAAGCTCTTACCAAATCACCCTATCAATCTTTAGTGAGATAGTCTCAAAAATGCCTGCATGTGGGCATCTGTTTAAAAACTGTACTTTAATATTTAGATTGGAAATAAAAATTAAAGTTCTAAGAGAGTTTTTAAAATTTCTCCAGAGAACATGAGGTTGAACTGATTTTTTTCCTATAATAAGGGTTTGCAAAATAAAACTCAATGAGCAAATATCTTGATAATTTCATTCGTCAACAAATGCCTCAATTCAAATATGTTTGTTACATTTGCTTTGTAGGGTTAGTATAAGAAAACAGCAATATTCATTTACTTCAGATAACTCACCGGCATATACACAGGGACCTAATGCATTCAGTGTTACACATGAATGTACATTTTAGTGCAAGTTCATAATACATTACTGACAATAAGCATCAGAAAAGGATTGTCATTACAGAAATTTACTGGAAGCACTTTAACACTTCTTTGTATTACTATATAAAGGTAATGATTGGTAAAATCATTCTAGATTTTAGGATTTAATGAATTTAAATTTAAAGGTCTCCTTACCTTCTATTGCTGAGAGTAGAACACGAGAATGGTCATATGCAATTACATTCGCATATCTATTCTTTGGTTTGTTTACTTCCAGGTTAGAGTGTTCCCATGTGAACTGCTGACCAGGATCAATAGACTTCAAAAGACAAAGAGAAAAAAAGAAAAGGAAACTTTCAGCTAGGGACTACATAATTATTTTATTTATGATAATTATAAACTAAAATTCCATAGTTTGTTTTGGAAATAATTTCCTTTGAAAGAACATTATTACTTCAGGACACATTGTAACATATTAGATCATATTACATTAACCATTTGGTATTTATGCATCTGAAATTTACATAAAGATTTTAAACTACAAGTTTTTAAAATCCAGGGCTTTTTCTTCAGAGAAAGTAAGCTATCCACCCTTTTATCTTGTTACTCATTTTGGAAAGTGAGGGGTTCTAGATTAACAGAAAATGAATAAATATCATAATCTCAAAAACACTGGGATGAAGGGTAATAAATATTTTTGCCTTTAATAGAAAAAACACATGTTCAAAAATTTCCCTGTCCTGTTTACTAAATAAAGTCCAAAGGTTCCTGAAGAAGTTTTTCAGAAGAAATAAACCCATTTCTGTTCTTTCATTTTGATGCCAGGCCAACCCACAGTTCTAGTGCTGCTCAGGAAACTAGCTGCATTTCATCCATAGACAACATAAAGAAACTTGCTTTTCATTTCATTGAGTCATAAATAAGTAAGCAATGCAGGCATATTTGAAATTTTAATGATGTCTTATTCATAAACATAACTAATCTTATTCATAAACAAAACTACATGTTTCCAGGTTTGCTGTTTATTTTCTGTTCCACAGTGGAATTACAGAAGCATTCATCACGCCACTTCATCCTTCACCACTAGGGAAACTTCAGACTCTAGTATTTTTACCTCTATGGCTGAACAATTTATGCAGCAAAGTGAATACAAAATAGGTAACAGATGGTACCTGTTTATGCTCACTATGGCAGTGGCTTGTATCAAAGGTCATCTCATACTGAGAAGACATGAATAATCACCTACTGTTTTACTTTCCCTTTCTGTAACATTAGAGACCTTAAAATTGTTTCATCAATATGAATACACAACTATGGCTTGCGGTTTATGCCCTCTGTTGAATCCTAGTAATAAATGGCAGCTCCCAATGACAGCTAGTGGTAAACTATTAAAAAAAAAAAAAAAAGATGACAGATAAGCCAAGGTAGGGCAGTTCACCAATACTATGCTCATTTTCCATGGCTAGACCAGCAACATGGCACAAGTCAGGAGGTCTGTACTGTCACTACAGCATCAAACCAACAGCTTTGCTGACTCTTCGCAGAGTATGACCTGTAGTCTATTAGAGCAGGTATTACCTGACAATGAGCATGTGTGAAATTAGTTAATGTGATTTTCTAGGACTTATCCCTTAGACTGATAATATGGCCAGTCTGAACATTGCTTCATTCTCATGTATCTTTACATATTTTATACAATTCATTTATTTAATATTTTGAGAATGACTTTGCTTCTTTATTGAGATTATTGGAAAAAAAAAATTGCCTGTCTGCCTGATAGAGAAGCATTTGTCTTTGGGAAAACAAATACCTCAGAGAAACAAGTGCCTTATCCTATTAACCAATACCCTAGGCTCAATTAACTTTTATAACAAAACATTATAAAGTCATGCATAACCTAGCTATGGAGAAGTAGAGGAGTGGGATGGCTCAGGTTCTGGCTCACCCTTCACCTGCAGCAAATGAGATAGAGTGCTTGGCAACTCCTTCCTCAAAAGGGAATGAACTGGGACCATTCAGAGGAATGAGGAAGAAATTAAATGTTTGGGATCATAATGAAGGCCATGAAAATTCTACTTATACTTTGGATATGTTTAATTTGAATTCACAGAATTCACAGAATTACTTTGTTGGAAAAGACCTTAAAGATCGTAGAGTCCAACCCATGCCCTAATGCCTCAGCTAGACTATGGTACCAAGTGCCACATCCAATCTGTTTTTAAACACATCCAGGGATGGTGACTCTACCACCTCTCCAGGCAGACTATTCCAGAACTTTATTACCCTTTCTGTAAAAAACTTTTTCCCTATATCCAACCTGTATTTCCTTTGACACAGCTTGAGACTGTGTTCACTTGTTCTGTCAGTTGCTGCCCCCACCTGACCACAGCCACCTTTCAGGCAGTTGTACAGAATAATAAGGTCACCTCTGAGTCTCCTTTTCTCCAGGCTAAACAACCCCAGCTCCCTCAGCCGTTCCTCACAGGGTTTGTGTTCCAAGCCCCTCTCCAGCCTTGTTGCCTCCTCTGAATGCACTCAAGGGTCTCAACGTCCTTCCCAAACTGAGGGGCCAGAACTGGACACAGCACTCAAGGTGTGGCCTCACTAGTGCTGAGTACAGGGGAAGAATGACCTCCCTGCTCCTGCTGGCCACACCATTCCTAACACAGGCCAGGATGCCCTTGGCCTTCTGGGCCACCAGGGCACACTGCTGGCTCATGTGCAGTCGGCTGCTGACCAGCACCCCCAGGTCCCTTTCTGCCTAGGCAATGTCCAGCCACACCATCCCCAGCCTGCAGGATGTGATTGTGGCCAGAATGCAGGACTTGGCACTTGGATTTATTAAGCTTCAGCCTCTTAGACTCTGCCCATCCATCCAACCATTCCAGGTCTCTCTGCAGAGCCCTTCTTCTTTCCAATAGAGCAACACAAGCTCCCAACTTAGTGTCACCTGCAAATTTACTAATGAAGGACTCAATCCCCTCATCCATGTCATCAATAAAGCCATTGAACAGAGCTGGTCCCAGCACAGAGCCTGAGGGACACCACTGGTGCCTGGCCCCAGCTGGATGCAGCACTGCTCACCAGCACTCTCTGGCCCGGCCATGCAGCCAGTTCTGAACCCAGCACTGAGTGCTCCTGTCCCAGCCGTGGGCTGCAGCTTCCCCAGGAGTGTGCTGTGGGATACAGTGTCAAAGGGCCTGCTGAAGTCCAAATAAACATGCACAGCCTTTTCTGCATCTACCAGGCAGGTCACTTGGTCATAAAAGGAGATCAGGTTGGTCAAACATGACCTATCCCTCCTAAACCCATGGGTCTGATACCCTGGCCATCCTGTAAGTGCTGTGTGATGACACTCAGTATAAACTGTTCCATAATCTTACTGGATACAAAGGTCAGGCTGACTGGCCTAAAATTACCAGGGTCTTGCTTCCCACTCTTTTTGTGAATGGGTGTCACACTGGCCAGCTTCCAGTCATCTGGAACCTCACCAGTGAACCAGGACTG